ACTACCAGGGAAACGGTGGAGATATCAACTTCTAACAGAAGGTTTTGGGTGAGAAGTTTGGAGCTGAAGAGGGTCAGGACAGCCCAACCTCTTATCAGGCTTTTCCACCAGTCTCCCCAGTGCGTGCTAGGCAGAGACTGCATCACTGTCCCCCTCATTCCACATCATCTCCCCAGCAGGACCAGTGACTGACCCAGTTCATTCCCAGAGCCCTGCTGCCCTGTACCGGGAGCTGGGGATCCAGAACCCCCTCTCCCCTCCAGCACAGCCACCTGAGCCTCCTGCCCTAGGCCCAGCATCTTCCCACAAGTTTGGGGAGCGCAGCATTCTCCTTCTTGGGTATAAACCCAAGACCTTCCTAAAATTACAATAATAGAGACAAATTCCACTGGAATTTGTACACAAAACTTCAGCAGCCTCCCTGCTTGAAGTTAAATGCATCCATTGATCATCTTGCAAGATCACAGCTTGAAAGTGTGATTTAACAAGACCTTCCTTCCCAGTGCTGAGGGACTACACTGATGCAGAAATCAGGAGGCATTGGAACAGGCCATTTCTCTTACAGAACACAATTTATTTGGCATTTGGATGAAATGTTTCTCACAGCATCTTGAGAAGAAAAAAAAAAAAAATAGTGCCAACCCCAAAGAAAGAAGTCAAAACAAAAAACCAGTGTCACAGGGTCCGAATTATTATAGTATCAAATTTAAATTCTACATGGTATTTCACAGAATATCAAAATCTTTTATACACTGCCACAGTTAAGTCCAGTCACAAACCATCTACACAGGAAAAGCCTGTAAATGCAGCGTTGGCTAGCATTATTTTCCAGGAGAAGGTAAAAAGCAGTGTCTCATTCCCTCACAGCCTCCCGGGCATCCTCCAGCCTGTGCACAGCCACACACACAGCCTGCAAGCACAGCATCTCCACTGGCATTGGCTCCAACCCACTCCACGTTCAAGGTGCACAATACTGGCAAATTAAAGCTATGTCGTACCGTAGCAGGCAGGCAATGCAGAGTGTTGTTAGGGGAATCACAGAATGGTTTGGGGTAGAAGGGACATTAAAGATCATCCAGTTCCAACATATCTTTACCACTGAAAAAAGAAATACCCATTTTATTTGGAACTGGGGAACATTAGAAGCAAGTGTATGAACTTTGATTCACCTCCTCTACATTCACCTGCTCCAATTTTAAGGTCCAGCTCCCATTTAATTCTTTATATTCTTTTATATTCCCCCCATGCAAGGGAAATTTAAAAGAAATTTCTGTATATTGCATATTCCTTAGCCAGGGAGAACAAAGACATTTCAGCAACTGAAAAAAGAAAAGATGAACATTACTGCTTGTATGAGGCAACGTTAAAACACCAGTGCTTTGCCACTGAAAAGCCACATCTGAAAGATAAAAGCATCTCTAAACCAGCTTCAAATTCATTTAACATTATTGGATGGGAAAAGAACAGTAATAACTACTGGTCATAACAACATTTTCTTCCCAAGTGAATCTTGAGGTACATGTGAACAGGCCATCACTAGATACCTGTGGAGGGAGAGCCCGCCGACTGAGAGGTTAAGCCTTCAGAAAAACGCTTCCCACCTACTTCACTCTTATTTTAGATCACTGTCCTGTCATGAACGGGTAAAGGAATAGTCTGAGGCTCAAAACTAGACAAGACTGAACATTATGCAAACAAGTTCTTTGTACATCTGAATGAAACCCACAGTCCTTCTATAACATTACATTAGTCTACAACTCATCTAGTAGAAAAATTAGAGGCTGCTGTGAGACTGTGTATGGGTATCACCAAAAACACCAACAGAAGTGAATATCTAGGGCTGTTCTTCCAGGAACAGTAGAGACCTCAATATGGCACCACAGTACATCATAAGGATGGGGAATCTGAAGAGCAGTTTTGTCCGAGGCCCCAACAGGAGATGAGAGCCCTGCGCAGAACTGAGCACTGCGGCTTAACACAACCACGGTCAAGGATATCCCATGAGAAATGCCCTTTCTTCTCACACGTGCTGCTTGGAATGATGTGGTAATGCCATCTCCCCTGCTGGCTATGGAGGGACATTTGGGATGCATCAGTAGTTAAGAAAAACCATCCAGAGAAAGTGACCAAGGGCAAGAAATTGATGCACAAAACTCCCTAAGATCTCATCAATCTAATGGCAAGCAAAACAGAAAGGTCCTCCTTAGGCAAGCATCAGCCCTCTAATTGGTGCCCAGGACGAACTGCTTACCAGTCACCTTGCCAAAGGCAAGGAAGGTTTGCTGAGGAGTCAACTGCTGTCAAGAAAACTTCTCTTCCCCAGTTGGTCCAGAAGTCCAAGTAGTTGTGACGTTTTCTGCTACAAAGGCTCTGACTCCAAGAGAAAGTACTCAGTGTGAAAAAGCTACATTAAAAGGGGGGGAAGAATTTTATTGCCAAATTAAAGCTCACCAAGAGGTAAATGAGCTGTACTTAGTGAGCTGCTCTGTTCAAGGCAAAATTTCCCTTGTTTACAGTTAAGATGAAGGAGGATAGGGGAAAAGACAAAAAATAGCAGCCTCCGTGCCAACATACAAGTGGGAAAGGCTCAGAAGCAATGGGGAAAATATCACACCAAGGCTTCTACAAAGAAGCCTCCATTTGGAACAGCTACAACCAGGAGCCACCATGAAGTTGCCAGTTGTAACAGAGCTTATTTTCAAATAAAATTCATCACAGAACCAAAAATAAAAAAAATAATAATAATTAAAAAAAAAATCGAACAGATTCCCGCAGTGTTAGGAGAAGTGTGAGGTAAGGTATCTGTTCACCTCAGCCACAAAACACAGCTTCAGACACTAAACCAAGCCAAAAGGCCTTTTGTTATTGCGCTAGGATACTACAAAGAACAAATATATTCCATCTGGCTTCAAAAGAAACTGGAAGCTTTCTATTTTCCACTGCTAACGTATTTTTCAGGAACAGATTGTAGTAGCATAGACTTTGCATCCTACTTAAGTATACACTATCACAGCCTGTCCTACAACAAACAGAGTGTAGCCAGCTTGAGAGAAGTATTAACCTTAAGAGCCTAGTTTATATCCCAGTGCTTAGCTTCACCTAGCTGGACGCAGCACAAAGGTTACCATCTACGGTATGTATAGATATATATATCACCACCCAGAAACACACACGCACACACGCATTCGTACCTATAAAACTAAAGAAAAATCAGTACATACAATGTATAAAACGTATGAATGTGCTCAAAAACGCACAAAACCCGCTTTATTTTCATACTTCAGAAATGCTCAGCAATTTGTATGCATGGTTCTGACTACTGCTATCCATCCACTTCATTGGACCAGGACTTGGACTCAGAAGAGGAGACGGTAAGAGATCCCACAGCATGGATAACTGCTCCTCTCGTTTCATACCACTGCTGTTAGAGCCAGTCAAAACGCGGGCGGTGGTATGGCTCCAGGCGGGTGAGGCTTCCTAACAGTGTTTCCTCCTGCTCGAGTGCCAGCAGCACACCCCAGAACTGTGATTCACACTCTCTGATGGATTCAAGATTGTTAGCAAGTGTCTGAATGTCAAGACACCAAGATATGATCTCAATAACCCACAGTTTTCTGTGCAAAAGGAGCTGAATTGTCAAGACCAATCCCCAAGTACAGTATTAGCCTATAGGCAAGAAACAGAATAGAAAGTAGCAGCATATTCAATGGGGAAAG